TTAGCCCTTGGAGAAGGTGTGGTGCTCACGTAATCAGGCTCCTGGTAATAGCAGAGTGCAAGTTGAAGTGGAGTGACTTATGCAGTGAATATTTACTTTCAAGAATGAGAACTTGCTACACATGTTACTGTACCAAGTTCATTCCACTAAAAGGCTCTTTGAACAACATTTTTGAATTCCTACCAAACCCATACTTGGCAAATCAGATGACTGAAAAGAAAGAAAAAAGTCAAACTGTGAATACTTATTTTCGCATCAAAAACTCAGAGCCAATGGTTAGAGAATACCTTACTGCAAAATTCACATTTATTTGAAAGCTATGGCATTATAAAGACACATTCCTCCTAAAAGATTTTCTGTGCAACTCTTGTATGAACTGTCATGATACTAAGGTTGACTTCCCTCTCTGATCTTAACATAGCCTCTTACGAAGATACTCTTTGAGCTCATCACGCAATCTTGTCTGTGAGGTGGGAAGATTGCGGCCTGGAGGCTAAACAAAGTAGATGAAATCAAAGCCATATTTTTCCTTCATGTTTTCAGGAATTTTTATTGTGCAGTTTCTAAAAAAATATGCTAGTTCAAGATAATTATTACAAAATAATGTCTTCTCCATTTTCACTGAGAGTTTGAGGCTCGAGCAAATCTAACAAGACTAACAACATAATAAACTTATTCATCTGTACAGCAATATGATTCATCTTCTTTTCCCATGTAAGTCTTGCAACCAAGTCAGAATTTTTTTTTTTTTCAAGAATTTTCCGGTTTTGAAATACTGAACTGAACTATCTGACCCCCTGAGGGGTACTCCCCAAGTTTTTGGTGAGGGTGTGTGGTCCACCCTTGAAACCTGTACTCTATTTCAGACCAAAATCTGGGATTTTCCATACCATGTTTCAGACCTCAGCAAAAAAAAAAAAAAAACAGTACCCTATCAGACCGTCAAAATTTGTACACAACTCTAATAATGGCTTCCGTTTGCGTTAACATTCGAGAAGGAAGAGAAGGGTTACAAAAAAATAATTTGCTTATGTTGTGGAAAAAAATATTTCAGCTGTGAACAACATTCCAGTGCCCAAGCCGGAGTGAAAAACATAACCTACTTCAAACCAATTGGTTAAAATGCATACCTTTTTTCCGACCGAAACCGCTCTAAAAACCATATCCTTTAGGGAGCCCCCCCCGCCCCGCAAGTACCCTCGCTTCAGTGTCAAGGGGAAAAGAAACTGGAGCCGATCTCTTTTAGTCGCCCCAGACCACCACGTCTGCAATACGCAGTGAGCTTCATCATGTTGTTGTGGTTCAATCGAGTTTAGGATAGATTTCACTGTTGACATCTTGAATTTCTACGAAATCCTTATTTTCTGGCATGGGAGAGTCAAAGCCAGACGCAGCTGTCAACAACAAGGGGAGCCATAAAACCTCTAAAACATGGAGTTCGTTGTCGTACCTGAGACACCGCGAGATCCACGGACTGTACATGGCTGAGCGAAGCGATGTTGTTTCATCAAAATATTACAAACATCTCTCGCTGAAGAATATGTGGGATCCTGAAGCTACTCTAGACAAGGGAGGACACGGAGCAATTTTTAATTTGGAGTTTTCGCCCTCTGGTGATCTTCTCGTTGCCGCTTGTGAAAGACATAGCTTACTTGTGTTTGATCCACTAAGCCAAAAGTTGATAAAGATGATACAAGCAGCCCATGGAGATTGCGTTAACTGTGTACGCTTTTTGGACACCAGGAGCTTTGTAACATGCTCTGATGACACTACCATAGCTCTATGGGACTCCAGGAACCTTAAAAGTAAGGTGTTAAGTTTAGACGGACACTCAAACTGGGTGAAAAGCATTGAATACCATAGGCCCTCTGGGCTCCTTGTGACGTCAGCTTTTGATGATACTGTAAGGACCTGGGACATCAATAGGTACTCCAATGAAGAGGGGCCCCGTGAAAAGATTGTTCTGCAATTTTCGAATTTGATCCGCATGAAAATGTGCCCAGATGGTTCCAAAATGGTCATATCTGCTATTCCCGGCAAATTACTCGTGGTCCATAATTTAAACCTTGACTATTTACAGTTTGACGTAGAAGGAGAGGAGTACCCATTTTGGGGTGCCTCGGAATCTTCCCTTGTTAGCTTTGCCAGCCATCTGTGGCCAAGTAAGGAACGTAACTCCTTGGAGATAATTCAAGATTTCCCTGAAGAATGCAGCCCTTGGTGTATTTCATCACTAGAGGTTCACCCGCATGGCTGGTGTACGCTTGCACGTTACACATGCAAGAAATCACGTAACGAGTGGACTGTGCTCCATGATATTCAGGATATAGCTGATACAAGCCTGGATGGTAAGTACATGATTGTAATATAAAATATTCATACCTAAATTACCTTTATTCTGCTGAAGTAAAATAATGCACATCCTGCCTGAATGTGTGGTCCCAAAAAATATCCACCCCCCCCCCTCCACACCCTCCCCAAGGAGGGTTATTGGAAATTCAAAGGGGGAGGGGAGTCTCAAAAGTATGAACCAAAACTGGAATTTCCTGTGGGATGGGTTGGAGGGGTATGGGGTGGGGGTTGGGGGGCAGGGAGTGGAAGGGTCAGACGAACAAAAAACCATGGTAGGGGGAAGGTATTTTCTGGAGCAATAGAATTTTCAGGCCATACATGACTGTAGGTCTGAGAAGACCTGACTCAGAAATTTAAACACCAGAGTTGTTGCATGTTACTGTCTGTACTTATGAGAAGTTGTTTAACACTCCTGGAGAAGGTTTCATAGAGCTGATTCACATCAACAACCTTGATATACTTTTTTTTTTTCAGATGTAGAAAGTAGTTCTAAGCTTCCACGACGCCTGACTCACAGCATTCAAGAACCCAATGTTGCCAAAGGTTACATAAAGGAACACTGCTTCAGCAGTGACGGAAGAATCATTTGTTCGCCTTTTGGTAACTCTGCTAGAATCCTTGGCTTCAGTTCAGAGTGCGATGAACTGGGAACTTGTGTTCATAGTGCACCCTCAGAACTGTGTGACTTGAAAACACTCATCAGTCATAAACATGCCGTGGTGACTTGCAGGTTTTCGCCGACGCATTCACTTTTGTCAATGGGTTGTTTAGGTGGAAAAGTAAGCTTTTACCAGCCTAAACTGTGAACTTTATAACAGCAAAAAAAGTGAGTCTAAAATGATTCTGTCATTCCAAGTGACTTAAAATTAACTGGCCTTGCTTTTTGTTTCTTCTCTAAGGTCAATTTTGCAAGGTTAGTTATGGGGTCAGATTTTCCATCTATAAATGTTAATAGTGAACAAATGAAATGTGGTTAATTTATTGATTATTAAATTAATAACATGTATTTGCTTATAATCAAATAAAATCTTGATGTTCTTGGTATACTTTTGCAATAGAAAATGCAAGAGGCTTAACAGGCAGACTTGGTGCTAGCCTGTTCCAGGCTCTTGGTAGTTGGTAGAAAAGAGGGTGAGCGAGAGCAGAAATGAGGGAGGACTAAGACTACATGTATTCCTCCCCTCAGTGCCCCTTGTTTTTTCTCTCAACCGCCCTCTTTTTTTTTTGCTTGTCCCCAACTACTGAGGACCTGGAACAGGCTAACTTGAGGCAGGAATGAATTCTTGTATTAGAGTTAGACCCAATTGGAACCCTACACAAGGAAATGCATGAATAAGAAATCTTGTTGCCAAAGCATTGGAATTTTGTTGTTTTTGATCACTGATATGGTTGCTTTGACCTTATGTGAAATATTGTGTCAAAGAACCATCGATTTATGCATTTTGAATTTTGGAAAATATGTTTGAGCAGTGAAAATATCCAGGAAAAACCTGAGGCTAAAGTTGAGAGAAATCAAGGAAATATTCTTAGCAATGTTTTCATTTTCCCAATTCTTTCACTTTTTATGATCGCGTTATTTTCAACGGTTATTACTACGATTATTAGTTGAGTAAGGCGCGGCAGAGCTGTGGTGAGAAGTTTTGGACTTAAAATACGGTGTTGCCACGGAAAACTTTCCTCGTTTCGAATGGTAACAATATTGTCGCCTGCAATTTCTCGCGCTTTGCTGCCAATCACGTCAAAGGCTGACAAGTTGACACTGGAGACGGAGCCAGTTACCCGTGACAACAACACAGGTTGAACGTTAAAACCTGGTCAACAAACTTTCATCGCGCTTTACTCAACCTATAATCGTAAACAGTTTGTCGGGCTTCTTTAGGGACTGTAAAAGCCTAAAAAAAACACCGATAAATGGACCTGAACTTATTTCTCGGCGAGGTCACAGCAAGCAAGTCATACCCAAACATCCCAAAATTAAACCAGTAATTGTCAACATTGGTGGGGAAAACGTTCTTGTTATGCAACAGCACTTCGTTAAGTACAGAGACTGACTACAATCACTGACACATTGTGTATACAAGGAGCTCCGAGCGTTGGCTCTCCCACTCCCGTCTTTCAACGTTGTTGAGAAATTGTAACGATGTTTTCTTCTCTTCAACGTTGCAAAAAAAGATGGGGGGGGGGGGGG